TGTTTTTTTAAGTTATTTTTTTTTACAAGAATTGTTAAGTGTCTTTTCTTTTGGTTTGTGTCCATCAAGTACCACATAAATAAAAAAAAGTATATTTTTGCAAAGCATGTAATTCACTGGATTATCCAAATGTAAACATTACTACATGGATCAAAAAACTATATTGTGATATACTGTATATAGCATTATAGTGACATGAACATATTATGAACATGAAAATTTTAATCGATCTGAACTGTAATGTTGAGACAATGTGGTTGCCTGTCTGTCCAGGTCTCGAGCTCACCTTTTACAGTGGGGTGTATGGGACATGTTTAGGGGCCATGACTCAATTTGGACATGACGCCAAGGGTCTTATCGGCCTCTCTGGAATTTTGATTGGTGTTGGTGAAATACTTGGTAAGTCAGTGCATTACAACCATTGTGCTTAAGTTCTCTGTGAACATGGCAAATGTAATAAACTGTTCTCTCTGCTTAACTAGGAGGAGGAGTATTTGGGATTCTGGATAAGTGTAATCGTTTCGGCAGAAACCCGGTGGTGTTTTTGGGGCTGTTTACCCATATTGTGGCATTCTACCTCATCTTCCTCAACATAGCCAGTGATGCTCCCGTGGCCCCAGAGGAAGGCACACAAATGCAGGCTTTTATCCAACCCAGGTAAGATACAACAGTTACAGTACTGGACTTTCCAACAAGGATGAGCATTGAGAATAGAGTCATACATAAAGATGCTCTAGCTGTATATTAACCCTTTTCTGGCTTGTTCTGTCAGTGTGACTGTGGCACTGATATGCAGTTTCCTGCTGGGTCTGGGTGATAGTTGTTTCAACACTCAGCTCATCAGCATTGTGGGCTTCTTGTTCCGGGACGACAGTGCCTCAGCATTTGCTGTCTTTAAATTTGTACAGGTTTGAACCTTCCTTTTGTTAAAGTGTTTTAATTGTTATCATCAGAAGTCATTACATTTTTTGATTTAAAAATCCTATGGAAACATGGCTTCATGAAACATGGCTTCACGGAGTCATATTTCACCCAAATATATATATATATATATATATATATAAACGTAATAAGTAACTTAGATTTTGCTTTAAAAAAGAAAATTTTTGCATTATGAAATGTTTTTAAAAAAGTTGCATGATACTTTCTTTTTTTTCTCCATTTCCATTTGTCTTAATTAGGTTTTTAACAGTATTTTTTAAAAATCAGAATACATTTTAAATTAATGGCACAATACATATTCAATATGTCTTTGCAGATATATATTGTCTAAAATATATTTTGTGGCATGAACATAATGGTCCTAAAAAGAACCCTATAGAGATTATTGGCACCTTAAGCTAATTTTAAGAAGTTTCTTTCTTTCCTTTTTGATTTTGGGGTGATCATTTGTTCATGTTGTTGGGGTTTTATGAGATTCACCCATTTACTTGAAAACATTTGAGAAAAATGTATTAAATATATTTTGGGGGGAAAAAAAATTATAGTAAATCTATATTCTTTGCAGGAATATATTTGTATTTGACAGTTTCACCTTGTCCTAAGTGGTCACCCCTCATGTAAATAAGACATTTCTGTTATTCTTAGAGAAAATGATTTTTATGATCATTAAAATTTTTGCGTTATGGAATTTTCTTTTCCCCCCAACTCCCATTATATGTATGTATGTGTTTTTGGCCCGACGTTACAACGTTTCTTCCTTTCTCTGCAGTCCATCACAGCTGCGGTGGCCTTCTTCTACAGCAACTACCTTCTCCTCCACTGGCAGCTGCTCATCATGGTGCTGGTGGGCTTCCTGGGCACCATTACTTTCTTTGTGGTGGAGCGGGGCGTTATCAGCAGTCGACAGGACTCTTATTATGACAGTATCTGATAGGACTGAAGTGCCAGAACTACCGTCTCATCTCCAGCCATCAGCATCAGTGTGCAGATCTACAAAACCATCTTCAACAGCCATTTTCTTCTTTGGTTTAGCTCTTGAGATGTCTCCTGTGGGAGCACCTAGTCCATGTATCCATTCTCGTTTTCAAGCGAATTGGCTGTATAGACTCTTTTCTTTACGTGCACTTACGATACGTTTACTCCTCAGATGGGATCAAGGATCAAGTGCTATAATGCAATAAAAGGTTTGTTCACATTTTTTACTTTTCACCTAGCATTATACTGTGCAATTCCAGAAACCTGTAACTATGGTCTCATTATCTTTCCAACCATGCTTATTTTCTTGAACATTAAAGTGCCCCTATTATGGGTAATGAAAGGTTCATATTTTGGTTTTGGGAGTCCCCAACAACAGGACGACATGCATGCAAGGTAAAAAAACACTTTCATTGTCTTATAATATGCATTTATTTTTACCGTACTTGCTCAACGACTCCCAAACGATTCGTTTAACGACTAATTTTTCCAAACCCCTCCTTTGCGTGATTGGTCTCATTTTAATGTCATCTCGCCTGTAACGCCTGATAAAGCAGCGTTTGTGAGCACAGTGCTGCTTTGTGTACAGCGTTACCGGGGAAACCGCTATTTTACCGCTCCAGAAGCGGCACCTAGTGGCAAAGAATGAATTTGCATTTTCATTCAGACCAACGCGAAAAGACCAACAAGTGGGCGAGGAATATGCTAATGTTTCATGTTGACGTCAACATCGGCTTGGGATTCGTTTTAAAAACTACTCGTTTCAATGATTCAGAGTCGACTCTTTCTTTTGAGAGACAATAACTTTATACACGGTGCTCTTTCAGATTTAAAACTTTGCAGGATGTTTTCATTCACTTAGAGCTGTGTTACACACTGCATGAAAGTTAATTTTCAAAAATCCATAATAGGGGCACTTTAAACAAGAAGCAATTTACTATAGACATAATTCACCCAAAGATTTAATGTCTGTCATGGTTTACTCACCCTCAGGTTGTTCCAAACCCGAATGGATTTGTTTTGTGGAACATGAGGAGAATTTTCTGAAGAATCTTCATGCAGCTCATTTCACCACAAAGACAGTTCATAGTGACCACAGATATGATATCAAGCACTGAAACGAACATGAACATGCCATAAAAGCGGTCCATACAACTCGTGCACTATATTTCAAGTTTTCTGAAGCCCTACGATCGCTTTGTCTCAGGAACATATTGAAATTTAAGCTGATAAACTTCCCTTCCCTCAAAGCTCTAAAATTGAGTCCACCTTCAAAAATGCCGCTTAAAGGAACACTCCACTATTTTTGAAAATAGGCTCATTTTCCAACTCCCCTAGAGTTAAACTGTTAGAGTTTTACCGTTTTCTGTTTGCATGAGGTTCAGCCAAACACAGTTGGTTTTTGTATTTGTCGCAAACGAACACAACTTACCAGTTTGAATACAAGAATGAGATTTTTGAGCTTTTGGGCCTAAATTGACCTAAATTTCAATCTGATTCTCACAGAAACTTATTATATGACATTGACTGTCTTGGAATATAGTGCATTAGACACATAGAATTGTGTTTTTTGTCCATTTTGGACAAGCTCGACGAATGTGGTCACTTTGAATGTTGTTGTATGGAAAAGAGATGTATGAAGATGAAATTCAGCTTTTTTTGTTCCACGAAAATGAAGTGTAAATGTAAATGAAGACTGTTTTTTTTTTTTTAAGGTGAACTATTCCTTTAAATGGTTACTGTACTACTTAAACGCAGTTATTGTAAAGAAGTCTTAGTGCAAATGCAATAAATCACTGAGCAATGCAACATCATTTTAATGTACACTACGCTGTGAGACTATAGATGAGAAATATGGTTAAATTACAAAATCAGTATCGACGTGAAACACCGAATGCACAGTCAGTAGTTAAATTAGAATGTCTTATTTTAATTATTTTTGCCAGTTGCCTTTCTTTTTTTTTTTATTTTGCCAAAGATTGAAGCACTCTTTGTAGAAATTTGCTTTATTTTTTTTAGGTTTGTCCTTGTTTATTTGTGTGAAGTGAGCTCATATTACAATGAAACCAATCGCTGATATAGTCAATCAGAGGAGGAATAATTTGGGAATAATTTTTCACAGTTGCAACTATAATAATATCAAGCTGGGCTTAAGTCAACATGTCATTGATGATAATGCATTGAGAAAGACTCTTAATTAGAGCCCGACCGATATGTTTTTTTCTCCGCGCGTCGGTAGCCCCCCGATAGGCAGTGGTCTCATTCAAAAGCGGGCCTCTAGACGTACACTCAATTCGTGTTAGAGAGGGTTCCTCGAGCTGAAGGGATCCCCCGAATTTGGTGCGGATCCGCCGCGCCGTTACGGAGATATGGCCGTTCAAAGTTTCAATGGTTTTCCATAGACTTAAGCTTTAAAGTGTTTCATCCAAGTCGCCAGTAGCAAACAATGGAGCGCGCTCTGCTGGACAAACTAAGTAATTATTTTACAATTTCAAGCATTCTATCTGCGTTATATGCTCTGTAGAAAAAAAAATTCGTATCAGCGGCATATTCGCCGATACCGATATATCGGCAACAGGTTCATATCGGCCGATAATATCGGCGAAACGATATATCGGTCGGGCTCTACTCTTAATACATTAACAATACATATGTTACGAGCTCATTTGCATGGGAGTAGGAGCTACATGTATGTTATTCAGCTTAATTTGGTTCAGTGCAATCTACAGGATGTTGAGGGACAATGTGATATGAATATCTGGTCATATACTTGAATGTATCGTACTGTAAAAATGGTAATGGCACCTGGATATTCTGTCTTCTTTTATAAATGTGTATATATGGGATTAAAGTCCTTTTTGAGCCTTTGACTCTCGCCTATGTCTTTTTGTCAGCTATGATACAATTGTTTTACAGTAACAAGTGTTTTGTTGTGGGACAATGACAAATAAGGATATCCAAGAAGATGAAAGTTCTTGTACAAATATAATGTTTGTATTCACGATGGTTCTATATATTAAAAAAATTTATAAAAACACTAGCAATTTTAACAAAAGTTGAACTAATGGTGTACGAATCGGGTTTATTATTACTTTATTATTTTTAATTAAACCTTAAGTATAAAATATTAAATGTATAAATTATACCAAACTACTTAACAGTTTGGCATAATAATATTTGATCGTGATAAGTTTTGATAGTTACAACACCCTGATGCTTGACACTTATCACCCACAAAAATAACGTAATGCATTTTAATTCATTTTCTCTCTCTCTTTGTCTATATTTATTATATATAAAGTATGTTTTTATTTGATAAATGTTTTAATCAACAACTGACAACTATATTGTCATATATGGCAATACATGTCACTGGCTTTAATGTAAGAAATATGAGAGACTTCTCAGACCTAAAGAGTGTGTTGTTGTGTTTGCAAACTGTAATTTGAGCTTGTAGTTATTATTTTGCAATAAGTATATTATTAATAACAAATCTTGATAAGGGTAAACAGCTGCTCCTAAAAATCTATTACGGACAAATGTGCTTGTAAAAATAAACTGCAGCAAAGCATTTGCGACATACCTTTTAGATAAAAACATTTAAACGATACTACATAACAATTTTGGGCTTGACATGGAAAATTTAAATATATATAGGAAAACCGTTTTTTAGGTTGGATGAATTTGGCATGTGTTTATATTAATAACTAGAACAATAATGACAAAAGATAGATTTATTTACAATCATACAGTTTTATTATTATTATTATTATTTTGGGACAAAGAAACATTCATAGGAATAAACAAATAAAATAAAAATACATCGCGTGTTTTCGCTTTTTCGTGAATATGTAATTTTTTATTTATGAATGCATGTTTTGTACACTGGCTATTTGTATAGGCCAATTTTGTTGTATAGCTTGTAATAAAAAATAATACCGAGGAAATCCGTTTGTTTGTTACTTTTATCATCACACTGTACCATTTCCCTTCGAAATATAAATAATGTAAATGTGCATAATGTGTACAGCGGTACATCGCTCTCCTCTCTCACGTGCTGCCACTGAATCGGTTGCTGAGCAACCAAGACGCCGCGGCTCACAACAGAAGGTAATTTCAGTTGATCGACAGAGACGTTATCCAATGAGGATTTAGAAGACAAGTGACGCGAGGCATTTTAACCAATCAGCATCTTCGGTAGGCGGGGAGGACGTAAAGAGAAGAGCAAACTTGAAGCGGTTTTCCGAGGCAAAGCTGCCGGTAACGTGCGAATTAAACGCCGACCGATTTTAGACGCCACAACAAAAGGATTTCGTGTAATTGCGCGTTGATCACAGAACTGAGAAAACAGCCGAGAGCGTTAAAACTCAGTGATTATGCTTGAAAACAGACTGAACTGGAACTCGCGCACCTGTCTGTAGATATGCAGCTCAAACGAACAGATCTGTGATTGTTGGTTTTGACCGCACCGTATTCAGCTGGACTAAACACAGTCGACGGGCATGTCGAGCGACATAAGCCTGCGTGAGCTGCTGGATCTCTCCATAGGAACCCCTGACGCGGGATCCGTCCGTTTCCGCGCGCTGCACACTCTACTGCACGCCATCCTGGGACACCTGAAGATCGAGAGGGTCACAACTGCCTGGAAGGAGGCGGACAGCGATCATGACAGCCCGTCCCAGACTAAAGCCGTACTGCTGGACGGTTCGAGCCCCTACAGGGCGATGGAGGAGAAGCTGCGGCGGATGGAGGAGCAGATGTGCGCACTGGAGGCTCTGCCCAGCGCCTCGGAGCTCATGAGGTCCGACACCGCGCTCAGCGACATGTGGACGCTCATGCAGCTCCGCAGAAAGGCGCAGGCCAACGAAGATGGAGTGTCCAAGGTAAGAGTCACCTCTGCAGTGCACCTCTATAATAGGTTTCAAAACGCCACTGTACTGTAGTAGGCTACTACCACACAACACAGCACTGCCATGCTTATTATGGTGTATTAACATGGTAACACCATGTTTTCTGGACATTTTTCGTGATTACACCATGTTTTATAGGGCATATAGAATGGAAATATTATGTTTTTGGACATAAAGCATGGTAGGCTATGTGAATGCTAATCATATAAGTGCCATGCGACTCTACTGATAACATGGCTTTTCCTACTTCTGGACTGAAAACACAAATAATGGTAAGAAGGTTGTGAATGTAAGCTACAACTTATCCTCTTTCTTTACTCAATGTGTGTTTTAAACACAAACGCTCATTAATCAGGGCTGAGCAAAATTCGGAATGTAAGTATTGGTAATTAAATTAGGCCAGTTAATTAGAAAATCTTAATACTTAAGGTAATTAACCAATTAAAGGGATAGTTCACCCAAAAATGAAAATGTGATGTTTATCTGCTTACCCCCAGGGCATCCAAGATGTAGGTGACTTTGTTTCTTCAGTAGAACACATATGATGATTTTTAACTTTAACCGTTGCAGTCTATCAGTCGTATAATGCATGGCAATGGTAACAAAATCTATGAGAGTAAAAAAAACATGGTTCCACTGAAGAAACAAAGTCACCTACATCTTGGATGCCCTGGGGGTAAGCAGATAAACATCAAATTTTCATTTTTGTGTGAACTATCCCTTTAAGTATTGGTTCATTAGACCTGGCCACACCCACAGGATGTTATTTTGGAGTTTGAATGGTAATGACAGGAGGAGACCTTTACTGAACTGAAATTCAAAGAAATTCTAAAAAAAGAAATGGCATCATGTCAAAGTGAGTTTTGTGACAAAACATGAATAAACATTAATTGTGAATAATTATGCCAATGTGTTCCCTGACATGTAAGATACACTTTTCTCAAATTACATTGACAAAATGGATTAAACAAATATTGACCTGAAAATTTGAATATTAGTTATTTAATAATATTATATAGTTACTTAGTATAGATAATTCTGGAAAATGAATTGTTCTTTAAATATGGTCTGTAAAATGGACATTAATTTATTGCATATATACACACACACACACACACACACATATAAATATATCCATTAACCCTAAACACAATGCAATGCAGTGCAAAATACAGGTTAAACTCCTGTAAAAAGTTTTTTCCATATTAATACAGTACATTGTGCCCTATTTTTATGGATTTTTCGTTTACACACACACACACACATGCACGCTAAAAAAAAAAATGTACCAGTAATTTTCTGCCAGGACATTGTCCATTAATTTTACAGACATTTCCGTTAACCCTAAAATGCAACACAATGACGTGCTAAATTCAAAATACAGGTAAAACACCCTTGAAAAATAAATATGGAAAATTCTTTCATTTTAATATAGTACACTGTGCCCTAATTTTACAGATGTATATTTAGATATTTAAAATTAAAAGCATTTAAATGTCCTTTTTAAAGTTTGAATAAAAAAACAACAACTTTTAAAGGTCTTCTCGGTCGAGCTGTCATCACAGCCCGGGCCGGTGAGCTGCTCCTCTGCTGGGGGTCTGCAGGAGGCTGAATGTTTCATCATGTGTCTCAGCTGTAGATGACTGATGACAGACCACAGAACAATGAGTGACAGACACTGTCCATTCTCAAATAACACCATCTGTGTCTCGTGTTCCACAAACTACACGTTTCTCACACTCCCCAAACCCCTGAGATACTTAAATATCAGTGATGGACGTCAAATAACAGTTCCCGTTCACCACAAGGACACATTTCAGAAGTTTATGTTAGTCCAAACACAGTTCTGCTCAACACAGCTTGTTACCATATGCACAGTAGATTGTATGGTGTGTGTGATGAGGCATCGTGAAAAAGGCTGGAGGTTAAATCCAATATTTGTGCACACAAAACACACTTTCTGCTGTATGTTTTCTGAATGTTGATATGCAAACAACAGACTTTGTGGTTTGCAAATGAGATCTCATAGGTATCAGGTACCAGTCAAAAGTTTGGACACACTTACTCATCTACTTAATATGTTCGACGTTTAGTCATGAACAGAACCAACAGAACCAGAATGAAATGACACAAAATGAAGTATGTAGTGAACAAAAAATGCTAAACAAATAGCCAATGTCCCTGTCTTTCTATTCATCAATGAATGCTGAAAAATTTTTTCCGAGTTTTTATATTATTAATAATAAATATTTCTTGAACAGAATATTAGAATGATTTCTGAAGGATCATGTGACGCTTAAGACTGGAGTAATGATGCTGAAATATATATATATATATATATATATATATATATATAACTGTTATGTATAGCAGATATTTTAAATGTTACATTTTAATGTAGGCCAATTTCTATTTTAATGTATTTTTGATTAAATAAATGCAGCCTTGGTGAGCATAAGAGACTTCTTTCAAAAACACTAAAAAATCTTTATGACCCCAGACTTGAACATTAGATATACATTTGTAATAGAAAATTTAAAATATGTTCATGTTGAGTCACACTAGACCATAACAACTGTTTAATAGGTAGAAAAGAACATTGATAAAAGATCAAATTATCTGAATATTTTACATTATAGTCACAAGTTAAGCCTTGTAATTAAAATGGGTGTTTTACATAAATATTTTTCCCCTTTTATAAACATTTTTGCATATCAGTACCTTTATGGTGGATATTAGTATCTAACGGGGCATTTTCAACAAAAAAATAGAATTTTAAAAAAATGCATTTTAGCCATTCATTTACACGACAATGGCGTTTTGGGGACCTGGAATTGTAAATTTTGAAAACGGGTTTGGAAGTGCATGTTTTTGAAAACTATATACAGTAGTTTTCATCTCTGTGTAAACTACAAAAATGCAAATTTGTGAAAAATGGTGACGTCATATGTATTACGTGTTCAGTCTATAGGTGTTTGCGCACGTGCGTAGTGTTTCTTTACAAAGTGACATCGCCATCTACTGGTCTGGCGTGCATAATACAGTGTTTTTCGTCTTTTTCACAGATCCGTGTGAACGGGGATTGTTTTGTCAACAGACAACGTTGACGTTCGCAAAAAACACAAAGGAAAAACTTTTCAGTTGTCATGTAAACGAACCCATAACAATACGTATTAATTGTCAGCTTTTAGACATTTTTTTCTGAGTGTAATGCTAAATATTTATAATATTTATAAAATTATAATTTAATAAATTTTTGCATGCCATTTTAAGTACAAAAAAAGTGTACAAAAATATTTGATCAGTGTAGATTTAAAGTTTTCATGTTTACATATACAGATTTTTCAGATTTGTACACAAAACAAAGATTATTGGAGTACATTTTGCAAGAAAATACTGTTTCAGTCTTTCTACTTTAAATTTTCACATTTAGTTCAATGTCTTACATGCCGTTTCTTTGTATTTATTTGTGAAATTTACTAGCCAAACTTTTTTCAGTGTATAAACTGTCACTACATACAGTTTAACCCATCTATCTTGACTTTAATAAAAAAGTCAACTACAGTACTATTGTAGCACGTCTCATCTTACATGACATTCAGTCAGTCCTGAGCTGTGATCACCTCCTCTCCACGTCTTTCTCCATCCTCTGATAAGCCGTCAGTAATTAACCTCCCGCAGAGCCGCCGCTTGTTTCACAAACAGTCCGGTGACGTGAGTGTACGGGGAGGTCCTGCTCATCTTCTTAATCATTAATGTTTCGTTTGGACATGTTTGGAGCCATCCATGGTTATCCGCCAGCGCCCTCGGATGACCCCTGCCGCCCAGCTGCCAGCTGAATCCGTGGAGGCCGAACAGGAATGAGAAGCACGGGTGACTGCGCGGCCCTCTGTACATGGAATTCAGGAGTGGAGCCAGCGGGGCTCGTTTTACACATTGTGCAGGTTGTCTACGGCAATGCTGGCATCAAAGTTAAGACATAGTGTGTCACGGTGACCACACAGGAAACTCTGGTTCATTGGAGTGATATGCTCAGCGAGGGACGTCGAGGGGGGTCCGGATGGGAATGATTGACCAGTTGTTTTAGAGCTGGTTGTGTGGTTGCATACCACTCAAACCAATGGATACGAAGGAAAGGATGAATCAGTTTCATGCTCTTTCCCAGGTCTGATGAAGTTAGGGTGTTCCCTTCTACATTCACTTCTGTTGTTTTGACGGTCAGCTACTCGTAGCAACTGATCGGAGGGTTTTGGAGTAGAGACAGGCACTGTGCGCTGATACCGTGGCACCGTTAAGTGACACGATTCATATGAGACACATGACTGTGTGGTGATAAGCAGTGCCAAGACAAATATCTGAAAAGAAATTATTCATGTCGTTAAAGAACAAATGATGTCTGACTTGTTAAACAGCTTTTGTGTGTTGTTTATATTTGCTGTGAGCAGCTGGACTAGATCATACCTAATTACCATAAACAAATGGGCTGTCAGGTTCATCATGAAAAACTCCTTTACAAATAGGACCATGGTGGAAACACGGTACCTGACGTGTTTTCTGATATACTACTGTTCAAAAGTTTGGAGTCTCTTATGCTCATTAAGACTACATTTATTTAACTATATTTATCAAAAATACAGTAAAACTAGTAATGAGAAATGTTATTGCAATTTAAAATAAAATGTTCTATGTGAATATATTTTAAAATGTGATTTTATGGCAAATTTTCAGCATCATTTCTACAGCCTTCAGTGTCACATGATCCTTCAGAAATCATTATATGCTGATTTGCTGCTCCAGAAATATTTATTGTTATTATCAATGTTGAAAACAGTGTTGTGTAGTATTTTTATGGAAACTGTGATTTTTCAGGATTCTTGGATATATATAAAAAGTTCAAAAGAACAGATTTTTTTTTAAATCAAAATCTTTTGTAACATTATAAATGTAATTACTGTCACTTGATAAATTTAATG